GTTCGTCACTACGACCTTGACGGCGGAGTTACCCGCAACAGTGAGCTGAACGCCAAGCTCTTGTGTTGACGATACTTCTCTTTTTTCGAGAGGAACGATATAACAAAGATGTGGATCAGGGAAACAGTCCACTACTTGCCCATTTAATGAGTAGGAGTTATAAAGAGCGTCTAGCCGCATAGTTAGCATAGTCTATACGGTGTGGGTACATGAGCTTACCCTGTGCAAACAACACGAAAGAATCTGCATTGTCCAGCGCCGCCTCGGTCGTCTTTACTCGCTCCGTCGTGTTATGGAAGCCATATTCCAAATCGTGCGTGCCAGGATGATATATCACAGGACTGTGCGTTAACTCGTGTAGAATCACGGTGCCCCGGTCCCCGCCTTGACCTGTCGGCTTCGGGTTCACTAGCGGCATGCCATAGAAGGATTGGCAGAACGTCACGCCGAAGTCGTCCTCACTTGTATAGAATGCCACTTCACCGGGCTTACACTGGTCGGGTTCGCAAGAACAGTGGTAACCCAAGCGTGGCTTGGTGCATTCCTTTGCTATTGCGTGGAAACGGGAAGCAACCTTCGCCCTGATGTCTGACGAATCCGAGTGGAAGTAGGCCGGGAACCTGGAGTCTTCATATGCGGCTTTGGCAGCGCGCAATGCTAGTTTCACGCACTGGCCTTGTGCCGTTTGAATCTGTGCGCGCTGGAAATCTGTGAAGCCCAAGTCAGCGTTTGCGCGGATCTATGATGGTATGATAAAGGGAGGAGTACGTACCGCTGCATTGGTCCTCGAAATAGCGCTCGGCTACTGGCTTGGGAGCAGCCGCTTCGGTGCCGACTGGCGCGGCATGAATGTAGGTGGCCAAGAAAGCCAGGGGGTATAGAATAATAGACCACTTCATTTTCGAATGGAAAGCTGGTGGAAATGTTTGGAGAAAATTCGGAGTGAACTGTTTAGAGTTGTACTGTTGAAAGTGAATCGTCTTATAATATTTCCGAATCAGCATATAAATACTAGCGTAAGCGAAGGATGGATGGGGGTTCTGGTTGAGATTTCTGCAAATCAGCTGAAGCCAAAGCCCAAACTTACTTGCTCTCATGACGGTTATCATTTGGAAATACCGACCAATCTCGTCAGAAATGTATGGATTGCAGGGAACGTGAATGGTTCGTCGCGCGTTGGTTGTTGCAGTACCGTGGAACGGAATTGAGACTGGGAAGCGATCGAAACACAATCATGGTGTTAGCACGCGACACGTTGTGAGCGTACGTATCGCCCTTGCGATAGATGACCAATCCGACCCAGAACCAGACCGCAGTCTGAGTTAAAGGCGCACTCCATGGCCAAGCTCGTCACCGAAGCGACCCGCAGACTGCCCATGCGATAAGGCTGTGTCGTCTCTACCGAGCAGTTCGATGGACCCGAGGTAGCGCAGATACGAGGCTGATGTTGAGTCGGTAGAGACCAACTTTGAGAAGTGAAGAAGGCATGGGTGGATATCTTGTTGAACGAAGGGGCGAGGTCGGCGCTTGCCGTCGCGGGCTGATGTATCGAACAACACCTAAAGGTAACGGCAACCCACTTTCCCCTTTCTACCAAGCTTCTCTACCCATTACTTTGTCTTGGAACTGCCACACGGCGCCTTCCTTCGTATTTGATATTCATCCGTCTCAAGTGCCCTCTACCCCTAGTGGGGCGTATCCCCATCGTTCGCCGGCTGTACCCAACGGGGACCTCGTGAAGAAGAAATCGCCGGTGCCAAAGCCTCCTGCCACAGTTCTGAGGACGACCGTGAGCTTGGCCATAACGGCAACACTCTATCCCCCTCCAGACATCGGACTGGCAGCTGGACGAAAATACTTCGCTATCGAGCAAGTGTCTCAAGGTCGGTCGCTCTTGATCTTCTCACTCTTATCATAATCCTCTCTGACCTCCTCCAAATGTCGTTCTGCACATCTGCGATGTCCCAGAGGCGACCCAGAAAAGACGAGCCAACCACACCTCCCGCATTTCACATGACTCTTACGCGAGAAGATAGTCTACGAAAGAGGGAAGTATCGCATCTCCAGGAACTTCTGTGTAGTCTCTCTTTGGACAGCCTCCTCTTGATCCGAATCATCAGCCCCACCGACGACCAAGGTACTGCGGTGATGCACCAGACCAGCAGCACTCCAGCGCAAAACATCAAAGCTATCGCAATTATACGGTGTACCAAAGTACCATCTTAACGACAAGCCCGAAGGACTAGACCGCAGTCTCTTGATCAACGTGTTAGGTCGAAAAGACCGGACGGAGAGGTTCAAACATGAACCGTCTGCAATCACGCTCCATCGGGTAACCACAAAGGCCAGTGGGTAACTACAAAGGCCAGTACGGAGCGAAAGTCGCGCCTCCCTTCCCCTCCTCTAACATCGTCGGCTGGGCGGACTATTCGTCACTCATGAGTAGCCGGGGAATTCACCCAAGAACCACACCCCGATAAATATCCATGTTCACTACGAGCCTGTGCGTGTCGCACACAATAATGTCGTCAATCTCCTTCCACTTGTAGAATGGCAGAGAGCACGTTGTGGTTGCGGTAGAATGGGAAGAAAGCAGAGAGCTTCATGTTCGTGTTTGCGTTGAACGCAGTATATTATACTTGCGATTTCTCTCAATCGTGAGAATATGTCGTGTGTGTTGCGGGAGTCGTGAGTGGCTCGTTTCGCTCTGCGTCATCGCGGTACCATAGAATGAAGTGAACGACAACCAAGAGATGGAATCGCACTATATTTTTCCCGCCTTGTAAGAATGCAGCACGATTAGTACCTGATGAAGGCTTCGAAGCGATACCTAAACCTAAATGGAACAGTCGTATTAGAAGACTACGTTGTCTTGAGTAGCATACGTTTATCAGATTATAATACAGTGTATTCAGCAACGCGATACATGGCAAGTGGAAGCGGCAATCTCTCTGAAGACCACCAGGGCGCAGTATATTCAGGGCACGGCCTAATCAGGACTAGCGTCTCTATAAACGACCCACTCACCCGACTGGAAAGAGCAAGCTCACCCGAACTGATTTACACTCCACCCATTCATCTACACTCGGCGCTTCTATCCTCTCGCGCCGGCGGCCCTGGCGTCATGGCTACGTTTTCGGACCTCCCGACTGAGATGAAGGCGGCCGTCTTTGCTTATATCCGTCCAAACCGTCACAGAAGAGCGGTTTGCCTGGTAAGCCGCGAATTCAGAGATGTGATGGGCCCGCTGCTCTGGAAAACTCTCAGGTTGAGAGCTGCTACTACCTTACCAGGAGACCTGGCTTCTTTGCTGAGCGCAGACAACGGAGTGATTGCCCACGTGCGCTTCATTGACATCGACACCGAAATGAAGGGAAATGTGGAATTCGACCCAAATTCCGAATTTGGACTTGTCGTCAGACTCATTATCGGCGCTCTCACAAAGAACTGTCTTACGGGTATCAGTATCGGCATCAGGATCAAGATGTCTATCGTGCTCAGTCTTCTGCAAAACCAGCATTCGCTCGAAGTACTTGGGCTTCGAAGTATCATTCCCGATGAAGGCGCCGCTCTCAATATGAGTCTTGCAACACATGATTCTTGGATTACACCCATACTCGGCAACATCCGGAGGCTCCGAATTCCCCTCTCCGTTCAGGATCCCCACGCATACGAGAATAGCGCCTACCTTCTCAAGAGCACACCAAACCTACGGTCATTATGCCTCAAAGGCGCAAGTAAGGCTGCCTCACTTCTGGACGACTTGCATGAGCACGATGTTTTCGGAGGGCCGTATACTGAGGAGGCAGCTATCCCGACTCCACAGCTGCGTACCCTTCACCTACTATGGCTAGAGTTCAGGCCATACCCCGAATCTCTTTTTAAATGCATCAACTTCTCTAATATTCGCATCTTCTATATCACCCAATGCCGCAATACCGAAGCCTTCCTCACTGCTCTCGTCGCAGCAGTCCCGCAAGCCACCGCGCTGAGAGAGTTAGAGATATCACTGAGACGTAAGGGGGTACCGCTAGACAGGGACAGAAGAGCAATTGAGGCACTGGTGTCTTCCGCTCCCTCACTGGTGAAGGTGTGGCTAGATGTGGGCAGGGGGCGTGCGGTCGACGTATCGTGTTTGAGTGGACAAAGCAAGTCCTTGCGGCAGCTGACTTTGGCGGCTTCATCTAAATTGCAACCACCGGCCCACTACACCGTCTCCAACCTTGCTAAAATACTCGCTCAGGCGCCTGAGTTAGAAAGGCTGGCAGTCAACCTCTGTCCGGTCAGTCTTGGTCCTGTACAGTACCTAGCTGCCAAGTTCAAGTTGCCTGCGCAAGCTGGTGAACAACACGGTGAGCTGACGTCTTATCTGGTATGCATTCGCCCCTGGGTAGAGAATCGTTGCTCACCAAAGAATCAGGACTGTATCGCGAGACACCGAAGTCTCAAATCACTGCGCATACTCACAGTTCCCTACATCGATTGTGGGATAGTGCCAAATCCAAGTTTCCAGGACCGTGTCACTCTCACGGAAGATTATGTTCACACCTCGCAGGTGATGATGCAAAAATTCGCGAAGGAAGTCTTTCGCTACCTCGACCAACGTGGGTCCAAACTCAGAACCTTGGTCGTCTCACCTGATGGTTTGGACGGCATGGAACGGCCTAGCTTCGACGAGGATGGCCACCGATGGCCGCGATACTTCTACTCATATGGATCAGTCTGGAGTATACGTGGGGAGCACGTTGTAGCCGTTCCGGTACACATGACGGATGTTGAATTCTGCGATCGCGCCACCAGATAAGCGGTCAAGGACAGATGTCGTTTGCATTTAACCACGCAGATTCAAGGTATGCAGAAAGCTCGGAATGCTGTCAAGATATCAGCGATACTTGCTGGGGGTATAGTCTATGGGAGCGATAAGTGACCGGAATGAACTTGATATCTAAGCCGAAATGACTGCACACATGAAACAAGAAGCACCTCAAACCACCATACCATCAAACCAAATCCATATTCTGAAATCCCTCCACGAGCATACATTGCCTCTCCTGCTCCTCAATCTTCCCCACAAGCTCGTATGTACTCGCCACGCTCTCATCTGCCAAACCTAGAACTTCCTGCTCCTCAAACTCCATCTCACTGTCATACGCCAAACCAAATATCTGGTGCTTCTCAACCTTCATCTCACTGTCATCTGCCAAGTCCATAACTTCCTGCTCCTCCGCTTTTATCTCATCGTCACACGCCAAACCCAGCACTTCATGCTCTTCCACATCCTGCCCCTCCACTTTCATTCCGTTCTTACGCAATGACTTCCTCATCTCCTTCTCCATCTTCCTCGTCTCCCTCTCTGCCTTATCATTGATCCTCCTCGCTCTCGCCTTCTCTTTCCTCTCCTTCCTTCTCTGATTAATAGCCTGCCTGGCCTGAACCCTCAGGTCACGACTCAGCTCTCTTCGCGGCAAAACCTTTACATCTTTCAGCGCAGCGCCTAGCCAACCACCCACAAAGTCCTCTCCCGCACCCCCCGTGACGAGTGCCCCGTCCAGTCTCACCGGCGGAAAACTAACGCTCCGATCGAGTAACTCCGCGGGGTATTCGGCTAAAGCAAGCTTTTTGAACCGCTGCGAGGCGCCACGCACGCGTTGCTGAGGTTCAATGTTGGGGAAAGGAGGGAACCAGTGAAATTCCACTTCGACGCTCTTCTCGGCTAGTTGCTTGGTGAGATTGGATATATCGTCTACAAGCCATCTATCCCTCACCAATCCGAACGGATGGCCCATCCTCATACTCTTCAGGATACGTTGCACATCTGAGAAGACGAGCACGCGATCGATGTGCTCGGTTATCGTGGGAGATGCGGCGACGCGGAGCGCTTCACCAATGGATAGTAGGATGGCTTCGTTTGCGTTGGTGTAGTGTGCGATAGTGACTTGGGCGGTCCAGGCGGAGGTTACAGGTGAGTCGTAGCCGACTGCTATGGCGCAGGGTTCGTTACGCAGGTCACCGCTGACGCTGCTGTTGATCCAGAGGACGAGGGTGCGTTCGGGATGCTGCGTGTGGATTGTGCGCGCAAAAGCTGTGGCTTGGGCTTTGGACTTGATGTGGATTGATGTCGCGTAAGTGTAATCGTCATCGCGGCGAGACTCTGAGGTGAAGTGGTCGCGGAGAATGGTGTCGGGGATGGCTGCAGGAGCTGGGGATGTCATCTCGGTGTCCATGGCTCGAAAATCCCTCAATGTGCTGCTTTGATGAGATACCACCGGCGGTGACTGACGGCAAAGACTTTGCGGAAGTTGCGAAGATGGTATGTCGGAGGCACCACGAAGGCAGTTACTACTCAAGTAGGCTAGCGATAGAAGAGGAAGGCGCCACTCAGACTCCAATGAATGAATGGACCCTGGTTTACAATCTTAATGTGGGTCTACGGTACTCCGAGTAGAACTCATACGTCACCAGCAGCCTACACCAGAGCAATCACCTTCTATATGAGTTGCGCGGGCCGTGAGTGGCTGGGCAGATAATCAATTGTGGATCTCCACGGAAACACTGGATGACAGAGGACATGGATTCTACCCTTCAATAAACCAAGCACACGCGAGTCAAGGGCAAGTATTGTTGTGTTCTCCCTGATCTCATGATGATCCGATTGCAATGACGTTGCGTGGTACTTTGGATGTCAAGAGGAAGTGTAGTATACATTGTGCCAAAAGCCCACCTCGCGCATATTCGATGCGAGTTCTAAGCTCGATTGGTATACAGTGAACTTGCATTAAGGAATCTGGGTTCACGGTAGGTTTGGGCAATTCCAACAACACTGCATCTTGCATACCGCTAGCAAATACTTGAACTCTTAATCCATATAACAGCGTGCACAGATTCATGTACACCACATTCATCATCCTGCCATGCATATTTGAAGTTTGTAAAGCCTACATCACAATGCTGCACAACCTCCCGTCGCCTTCGCGCTTCGTGACACAGGGCTATTACAGTGAGCATAACAGCACACCATCATTGTCCTGCTTGCTGCTTCCTTTCTCGATCGCTTTCTTGTTACGACTATAGACTTGAATCAGCTCACAAGTTAAGAACAGTCAAGAAGTTCTCGTGTGTATATAAATCTGCTATATTTGTCCCCAGAGTTTTCCTGCATAAACACTACATCACGAGAGCCTCTAATAGATATATCTATACTATATTTACCACTTACAAGTCAAACACATCCTTGCAACTACCCAACAAGCCTCTCCAATACATTATACCAAACCTCAGCAGGACTGAAACCCCCCACAACCACAACCACAAGCCCCACCCCAACCAACCAACCCCCCACCCCAACCCCAACCATGTGCCAAATGGTCCTAGAAATCTGTCCCCTCTGCAAATTCTGCGGCCCATTGCACAAGCCCTACATGAAGGTGAGTTCTGACCGTACGAAGTGCATGTGAGACATATACTGACTTCGTACCTCTATCTCTGCAGGAAAGACACTGGCACGAACCCTGTGCAGCCGCAGCAACAGCGGGCCCGTGTCGCGCGCGGGGGGGGGGGGGGGGGGGGG